AGAATTTTATCTAATATATCCAACATTTGACATATATACATCTGTCAAACCTTGTTCCAGTCATAAGATTAATTCAAATAAAATCTGTCTTCATTTAATGACGATAAAGACATATGTGACGCAAAACGAGGCTCCCAGCCAAGTCCCCGGAATCAGTCTCCCGATCTTTGAGGTTAAGCGCACGTGAACGGTCGGCAAAGCGAAATACGTACTTGGGAACTTTTTGTCCTGGAAAGCAGGCGTAGTCCAGTCGGAGATCTATGGAAAACAGTAAACCGATAGGTAAGCGCGATTTATAGGACGAAATTAAAGTTGGAATAAGTCTCGCAACACTCACCTTGCCCAATCTGTCGCCTTTCGAAAATGGCTGGTAAGGAATGTCCTTAAACTGATCCGGCAGTTCGGAGGGACCCCAGCCGTCCGGATTGTGCTGGATCGCTGGTGCCTGGAAGTGCGCCGCCACTTCCTCCTTCTGGACAGGGTCGTCCAGCACCACTACGTCTACGTCCGTCATGCTGATGTTTAGTTAAATTTGTCACATCGATTCAACTCGACGTCAAGTCACTCGGTATGACTGACCAAACCAACTCGAGGCACTCCACCGTGACTCTATCGTCACCACTGCCGGAAATCCTGTCCGCGCCATCTTCCCTGCTTGCTGCATTGTATCGCAGTGCTGTCAATCCATTTATCCATGAAAGTGGCAACATTGAAATCATTAGGGCGACTTTGATTAACTCTGGACACCGACGATACTATTAAAGACCGACATCCTTACGAGAGTTCGCGTCCTTGTGGATATTGAAGTAATTAAGAGTTAAAAACTGATAATATTGTACTAATATAATTATTTATTAGTTTAGTATTTATGCATTTAGAACTCAATAATACTCGATTTTTCTTTAAAATTATAATTTTAGTGTTATCGTCAAAGTTGGATTATCAACAGAGATAATAACTGTAGAGAAAAAATTGTAATTTTTCTACAATATATAAGATATTATTGCTTTACAAGTATGCATATTTATTTATGGAACATTTATGTAATAAAAAATCATGAATTTAATAATGTATGAGCCAAATATTTATGTTAATAAATTTATATCAATTGTTGATAATGTCAGCGTTTTTCAATTATCTCCGGGCCCTTGGGGCCCTTTTTATATCGTCGAAAATTTGCCCAGGGTTGACGGTCTTTAATAGTATCTCGTCAGTAAAATAACAGGAAAAAAACCGGTATAACCTCTCTCAGGTTTCTCTCTATCCGGATTGAACTCCGATTAATGTCCAAAATTAGTTTTAATCTCGATTTAACTTTTTATCTTTTCTTAAAAAAAAATAAATAAATAAAAAAAAGAAAGATAATTAAATAGAAATTAAAATTAATCTACGTAATAAAATGAAATGCTATAATTGTGACAATTGATATACAATCGATTTCAAGAATTACTTTTGATATTTATATAAAACATTCAGGAAAAAAGTTAAAAAAAAATATAATATAGAAAAAAACCATTAAAATAAACAAAGTTATTCCTTTTAATTAATACAAATATACGTAGCCATAAAAATTTATTCTTCAAATATTACTACATAATAAATTTAGATTATTATTATTTTATGTTTATACTGTCTAATTTTGTATACTTTTTAAATATTTTGCGTGAAGTTTATTTCAATTAATTTTTTTACAAAATTTGAAACTTGCGCATCTTTATCAATATCTAGTTGATGGAATCCCTTTACTCCATCTGATCTTGCCTCTCGAAACTATTGGCTTCTGTTATTCAATAGTGTCAGTGATTGTCTTGCGAAGAAAATTTGGAGTTGTGTTACGAACTAAACATATAAGTAAATACATTAACTATTTATTAACACGCGTAATGTAATATATTTTAAATGTAATGCTGTTTATCCATTTATGAATGGATGAATATATATTCGAATCGCTTTAACCTATTTCGAATGGATCTAACCAACAAATGTTATTGCATTTTATTACATAAGAGATGATTAATTTTCATTCTAACGAAATTTAACACATATAAAAAAATTATAATTTAGAATTTGTGATCTCGATGTGTAATTGAGATCATTTGGATAATTCACGCTTGTTGCGCAAAAAAGAAGAGTTACTTGTTGACAGTAAAAACATATAGATACAGAATTCTTCCCCAAAATTGTGTGACTTATTTTTTAGGCAATCATGTTGAGGTCACGTCTCATTAGTGTGCCGAAAGTTATTAAACGTAACATTAGCACCAACGTTCCTGCTTTGCAGAAAGCAGTTGATCCCATACAGCAGCTCTTCATTGAAAAACTTCAGCAATATAAATCAAAAAGCGTGTAAGCATACTTTTTAATTTAATATTTTTAGGAAAATATTTTTGAAAAAAAGATTATTTATATTTTGAACAGAAAAAGAATATAATTAAATTTTTAGTGTAAAAGAAACTAAAGAACTGCCTATGTTCATCTTATCTATGTTTGTTCATTGTTGTATTGTTCTGTTTAGAAAAGACAACAGTATTAATTAGAATAACTTGAAAAAAAAAAATATATATATATATGTCTCTAATTAAAAATAAAATTAAAGGAGTTAAAAAATATTTTACATAGCTGCGAAATATCAATAATTAGATGGAACTAATAAATCAGATTCATTAAATATTGAACTAATATTTTTATGTTATGTCAAGATAATATGTATAAAATAAAGAATGTTAAATGCTATAAAAATTTTTTTTTTATTTAAAGAAGTGGGAAATTAGTTGATCCCAGTCCGGATATTATAAAAGAACGAGATTCTGAATTAGAAAAACTTAACAACCAATATGGTGGTGGTCCAGGAGTAGATATGAATCAATTCCCTCAGTTTAAATTTGTTGGTAAGTTACTTATAAAACAAATATGTCTTTCAAATGTTTGTTTTAAATTGAAAAGTTATTACAATTTTACCTACATACAAATATGAACATATAGCAAAACAATTTAATGTATATTGTACTTTATTTCAGATCCACCTGTGGATATGGGTATTAAAAAGTGAACATGTATGTAGTGATATATATCATAGGACATTCATGTATTGTTGAACTATTAAATATTAAGTCATCTTAAAAATATAGCTGTAAATTATATAATCTGGGTTTTTTTAACCTAAACAGTCCAAAACAAAACAAATTAATAAATTTAGTGATAAATTATCATAAAGGGAGGAAACTTTGATTTAGTTACTAGCTCGTAAAAAGTTTCGTGTTATCTACTATCTCTGCTAAAATATTCATTTTACATTTCGTGGCTATAGATTTACATATATTTACATAGCTTGTGACTTCATCTCGTGTAATTAAATTATCGTATTCGCCTGAGCAAGAACATAACAAGTTCATGTTGTCTCGTTTGATTTCCTTACACTTTCGGCATTGTAGATCTTGTAATACGTAAGCCATACTTTTACGATTCAATTTATCAATTAGTGAAAATTCTATTTCTGTATTGTCGTAAGATGCATCACAGTTAGGACATTTCCACATGAACCTATAATAATAATAATAATAATAATAATAATAATAATAATAATAATAATAATAATAATAATAATAATAATAATAATAATAATAATAATAATAATAATAATAATAATAATAATAATAATAATAATAATAATAATAATAATAATAATAATAATAATAATAATAATAATAATAATAATAATAATAATAATAATAATAATAATAATAATAATAATAATAATAATAATAATAATAATAATAATAATAATAATAATAATAATAATAATAATAATAATAATAATAATAATAATAATAATAATAATAATAATAATAATAATAATAATAATAATAATAATAATAATAATAATAATAATAATAATAATAATAATAATAATAATAATAATAATAATAATAATAATAATAATAATAATAATAATAATAATAATAATAATAATAATAATAATAATAATAATAATAATAATAATAATAATAATAATAATAATAATAATAATAATAATAATAATAATAATAATAATAATAATAATAATAATAATAATAATAATACACCTTTACTGTATAACTTTATCTAAATATCATATATAATATTATTTTGTAATATAATATAATATTTTCATATTTAACGTACTTGTTATTTTCATTGGTGAAATATTCATCTTTACAAAGATCAATATCTCTCGTGCGATTGCATACTTTGCATATAACTTGTGGTAAAACAAGAGAAATACACGGTTCCTTCCACTCAACATTATCGCTATAACTGCCGACTCCAATTAATCGTAAAAGATTTGTTTTTAAGTTATAAACCTCATGCTCTACCTCTTTATCCAGAGATAAAACCTGAAATTTTCACAAGATAATCTTTAATATCTTGAACAATTCAACAATTCAACAATTCACAAATATTGTTGGAAAATTTATAAAGTAATATTACCTTGCATACTGCTTTAATTAATTCAAGTGCAGGATTGATTTTTGTACTTTCTTTTCCATTCATATTCAAATTAGGATATTTCTCGAGAGTTAATGTCTTTTCCGTCAAGTTCCGATGTATCTTTTGAGCTATTCTGCAAATAATAAATATGCCTTTCAAATTTTTTCAAGCACAAAATATCAATATTAAATTTATCTCATTCTTTTTATATAAAGCTTCATATTATTTTTAGAAAAAATTTTACTGTAAAATAGATAAATATATACTTGAACAATCTTTGAGATATTTCTCCTGATATCAATTTTTTTGCAAACTCGGCTGTATTTTCCAATGCACCTAAACCAAGTGGTGCTATAAACGATTGGCTTTGGCTTTGTCTTCTTCTCGGCCTTATAGTGTTATTAGTTTCATTTTCAATCATACACTGATATACTGCACGTACATATCCTGCTACTACCGCATTAAAACTTGCTTGACATCCTGCTTCTGTAGGCAGGCATTCCATCAAACTCCAATTCATGATTAGAAGCTAAATAAAAATAATTCAATAAGTAGAAAAATATCGTCAAAGCATTATCAGTGCAATTTCTACAAATGTCTGTAAATATGCTTATTTTTTTACCATGTCATCGTTATCATTTTCAGTATTCTCATCATCTCCCGTATCATCTTTAGGTGACTGTCCTTTAATACCAGCATGATTGTGCTGTTGGAAAAATCAAATATGTAATCAAAATGTTACACTAAACATTTCATGAATCAAATAATTGATGAATTATACCAAGTCAAGCCATACTAGGTATTCCCAACATTGTTCACAAGAAATATCAATACTGTGAAACAGCTCTTTGTTTTGTATGGTTTGAACAACAAACTCTATATAGCCTAAAGCATCGCTCACAGATCTTTTCTTTGTGCATACAATAATCTTATTAAAGTTTGCGAAAACTATAATACAACCTAACGTTTTGAATTGCGCTATTAATTGTATATATAACTTTTTCATATAAGTATGTAAAGTACGGCGGAGAGCAGGATCATAAAGTAAAGCGTTTGAAGACCTCAGCCACCTGGAATCATATGAATATGTGCATGCGTGTTTATATAACAGAATAATATATAATTAGATAATATAATTAATAACAATACAAATAATAATAGCGTACCGATAGAAATGGATCAATTGATAATCCGCGAATGTATTTTTATATAGAGATACATCAAGCAACCATGTGTTTACCATGTTTCGCAATATTTTAAACGATGGATTGCATAAAGTGATTTCGTCGTAGCTGGGAATAACTGTTGCAGCATCACTACCCATTGCCATGTCCTATTGAATAATTTAAATAATTACAATATATTGTACAATTTAGAGAAATTATTGCAAAGGAATTTTTAAAAAGTACTATTAATTAATTTAGAGGGGTGTATTTTTTTAAACAAATTTTAAATATATATATAATTTTCGAAAGATGTATAAAACTGACCTGGACGGATGGACGCTGTTGATTGTGAAATGCTACAAACGTACTAGTTCCATCTATATCGTGAATATGATTGTATTGCAACAGTGCACTGACCGCTAAATAATCTACTTCCAACTGGACGCAAACACTAGAATATGTGCCTGGGTTGTTTGCAGCGCAGCTCGAACTTTCCTCAAAGTCTGTCAGTAGCCTGTTATCGTCATTCTCGCTGCCACCTAAATCGGGTTTCTCCGTGGGCGAGCACCATAGCACAAAATTATTCCTGTATAAATTTCTAGCGTAAAATAAATCGGCGCCAAAGAGTGAAGTATCCGCGGGTATGTTGCCAATGGGTGCGTGGAAATATCGGCATTGTTCTGCGATTAATTCGACAATCTGTTGACTCTTCAGGTAGTGACTGATCATCATTTTCGCGCCAATCTTCTGCCATTCTAATGTGCTGTATAGATTCTCAACGTCTCGCACGTGCGTGCTGATAAGAGGGAAATCATTGAGAAGTGGCATTTCGGTAGTTAACATAGTCTTGTCGAGAGCAGTTTGATTAATAATAATTGTAGCACCGTGCTTTTCATTCTTATATGTCGTTAAGGCTGCTTGCAACGTACGACACACATGTTGAAAGTTTGTTTCAGCTTGTACCATAAACTGCATAATTTCAGGCAATTCACTTATACTGTCTTCGCCATTTGTTTCCAATATTGCTTTACGTTCGTTCGTGTATAATATATTCATGTTTGGTAGTTGATTAGAAACTACTGAATCTAAGACGAATATGTGAGCCCTCCTGCTAGCGCTTAAAAATAAACCCCACAATGCTCTTTGACGGTTTGAACTCCAATGATGATAGAGAAATATGTAGTTGATCGACTCAGTTCGCTTGAGATAAGGATGAAAAGCGATACTCTTGTATTCCAATTGATCCAGAGTAAAAGTATCGGCACCATCTGCCACTTTACGCATAACACGCGGATCGACTATGCATACGCATCCCAACTGCAATATGGCTCGAAATTCCAATGACATTTGCGTCTCGTAGATTCCTTCAATTTCTGGTTTATTTAAGTCTTCCAGAAGCTCCCGACTATGCTCTTGAAATAGAGATTCTGGTAGAGAATATTGATACAGATTGTATATCGGGCGAGAGCGTGGTAAAGATCTGAAACTTTTTTTCCAGAGCTCGTTAGGTCCTGGATCGGGTCTTGCTTTGCGGGTATTTACGTAAAATATGCGGGGTACTACGAGACGTACTTGATGCAGCTGTGTGTCGACCAGTATCCACAATCGAAACATGCCGGGTTCACCGGTTTCCAATAGCTGAATGATTTCCCACGGAGTTTCCAACAATTTCCTTTGAGCGCGTCTTAAAAAGCCAGTCATGGTAGATGTATTTGTATTTCGTATAACTCCCCAGCCAATTCCGTCGCTTTCGTCAGTTTTACTTCTCTTTTTCTGGTGCTGATTTCTTTGTTTAGCCTGGAAGGCCCACTTTTTCTTGTGAAACTCCAACCATTTAAGCCTCTCTTCTTTTGTTTTTCCCATGGGAGGAGGTGAACCCAAAGCTTCTTTCCAACTTTTCGCTCTGATTGTCTCATCTTCATCTGAATGCTGTCTTTTCCTCTTGTTAATAACCGACATTGAGGTCGTGAAACTAGTGGACGGTCCTGCGAGATCTTCAATATCACAGGGCTCTTCGGTGCTGTTCGCATGAGAGGTGTTTTTATCTACTACAGAAAATATATCTGTGATCTTTTTCTGACGATGAGACGAACTTTTCTCCATCACTTTCTTATGTAACCATGATGGATGCTGTACTCGTGGAACTGGATTCGGTAAGCCTTGCATCGCCGCTGGTATAGTGATTATTTTTTGAATAGCGCTCCCGAGTCGTTCAATGTAATAGTTCCAATCTAAAATATCTCTTATATCCTCACTGTACAAAGTAGGATCCTTCAACCACTTTTTCAAGTAATGTCTTCGCACAGCCGGTTCTGATTGAAAAATAGCCAACGGTATCGCGCGCTCAGTAACTGGTGCGCTTTGCGGTTTATTTGCTATAACATATCTACAAGCTAAACCTGCATCTTTAACCATTTCATCGCCTAAGAATTCGGCTAATCTTTTAGCCGTAGAAATCGACGTGGATTTCTGTGCACCATATTCTTCCAATTTACGCGACATGGATT